CCCCAAAACCCCAAAACCCCAAAACCCCATGAATGAATATTAAAACTGAACATTGTCATAATAAAGAATTATTTAGTGTTAATCAGATAAAAATAATGTACCGTGATTCTAATAATCAAACATCTCCCAAATTTACACTGCTTCAGCAAAGTCAAGGCTATCTCCCTGCTTTCAATCCCACTAATAAGTTTTCTTTTATGGGTAATGAGATTAATGCCCAGAAATAGTTCTCAGATGCTGATATAACGATGATTAATGATCAGAAACAAAGCATGAAAGAAAAACATAGCAAAACTAATTATCCATTCCCAATATAATAACAGCAAAATTATTAGTCCCTTCCAAAACATATGAAAATGACATCAATGCAAATGCTTAATTAAAGTGCAATGGATCATCCAAGATCAACGACTAACTTTATTAAAAAGAGCTCTAAGATTAATTTTTCTTAGTCTCCTTTGCATAGCGAGAAAATATTCGAGACTAAGAAGCTCTCTCATGGCTTTTTAAATCTGGAAAATACTAACTCAAAGCAATTATTGCTTGAAAACCAATAAATTCATCAGAGACACAATGATGATGCCAACCTGCTTAAATAGTTTAAGAATATAATGTATTATTAGAAGCACGAGTAGAAAAAGAAAGATTAACTGAAGGAGATTAAGATAAGGAAGTCTGAGAGAAGTCTAGAGTCAATTGAAATACTTTTTTAATAAAACCCCAAGAATATTGAGGAGAATGTAAAAAGACTGTTATCATTCCTAGATGAATAAAGTGTTATCTTGATAAAAAACAAAAATATTCAGTCTATTATGTCACGATGCTTTATCAACTTGTCGAACTTTATCTTTTAAATGCAATCAATGTTTGCAGGTCAGATACAGGTTATGAACATAGAAAAAAAGAAAATGGGGGTAATGCTGAGGAAAAGATTGGATGAGATTCAGAAATACAAAAATATAGAGATGCTATAGGAAGAACGACTTAAGAATATGTTTGAACATCTTAGGTAACTAGATTTGGAGATCAAGGAATTCTCTGAAGATAATGAAATTTTAAATGCTAAAGCTTATGTGCATTTTGGGGATAAAAATATGGTAGAGCAATAGAAAAATCGAGAAAAGAACTAGCATAACATGAAATTACTTGAGTTTGATTTGCTAAATATTCAGCAGTAGGTATCAAGAGATCTTGAACTAGTATTAGAAAAAAATGATTTTGATATTCAAGGAATGGATTCAAAGTTTTTGTCAGATCAGGTAAAAAGCGGTATCCAAGATTCAATCGGCAATCTGTAAAAGAAGATATAGACAATTCTTTTATCAAATCATACAAAAGCAAAGAATTTAAAAGCAGAAAAATGGATCTAGACTGAGTCCTGGGATTTCGCTAAGTTTAGTGAGAATATAGATTCTTTAAGTAGATAAAATGCTCTGCTATAGAAAGACATGAAATGGCTATAGACCAAGCTTGATAGATCAATTGCTAAAGAAGCTGAGAAAGATGAAAAGATTACCTAGTTCATGGAAAGAATTGAAAAGGTTAAGTAGCAAGACCTGGAGAATAGAAAAATTACTCAGGATAAAGAACATACTATAAGAGAAATGAAAATGGCAATTCAATAGAAAGAAAGAGAGTATTAAGATTTAGAGCATCATCTGAAGGATTTAGAGTCAAATATTGCATCAAAGGACCAAGAGTTTTAAAAAATAGAAAGTAACTTAAAGATGAGACTACAATAATCATTTCAAAATGCTTATCGTTAGTCAAGACCATCAAGCAAATCCCCTGCGATCGGGAGAGCAGCTACAAATACCTAAGGTGGTCATCATGATGAGGTCTTGAATCAAGATTAAATTGACAAATTTTTCAATCGTAAAAAGATCTCTATTCCTGGCAAGTAGTCAATATATTTAGACGATACAGAAAGCTAAGGTAGTCATACCAATGAAGATAGTCACCGAAGATAAAATAAAAGTAGCTTTAACAAAAAGCGTGGAGCATCTGTTAATGAAAAATCACAATCAAGTTATGGGACTTAGCCAAATCAAGTTAAGAATTTGTAAAAGATGATGAAAAATGCCAAGGTAATTCAAACTGCTCTATCTGGGGAATTCAACACACCATAGATTAATAAGAAAAAACTTTCAAATCACAATCTTGTCAAGAAGATATCAGGAAGTAAAGTTGTTGGGTAAATCATAAACAAAGATCCCCACCTCAGCACTACAACTAGAAATAAGATATAAAATCTCTCTAATAATGAATTGATAGATCGCTTTGATAGCTAAGCTTCTGAAGGCTTGTTTTAAAACTAGGTCATTAAAAGCGTTCACTCAAATCTTCTATCGCCTTAAATGAATAGAGTACAGAATGGAGAAGGAGAGTTTAACTTTGATGAAGAAGAAAAAGAGGAGGATGATGAGGATGAGTCTGAGAAAATGATGATGAATGACAGCAAAAGAAGATACACTGGTAATAATAAGCATGGCTAACAAATTAAGATATCTGGGGCAAGTGATGACTCTGTTTTTGAAGAAGCAAGGAACCATGAGTATCAGCAATAAATGGATGAGCACTAAGATCGTTCTTAGTTTAAGAAATAAAATAGAAGCATGATTGAGAATGTATTTTCTAAAGAAGATATTGATATCATAAGAGAATCTTTAAAATCTGAGCATCTAGGCTTAAATGATTCAGATAGTAAAAATTAGAGCGAGCGAAAAATAGTGGCTCTTAGAGTTAACTAAGCAACAGGATCAGGTAAAAGCTCAATGATGACTGTAATGAATGATAACAACTACAAATCTAATAATAATCACATAATTACTGAGGAAAGCAATGAGCAAAATCAAGCAGAAGATAAGTTTGTTCAAACTTCATAAAATTTTGGAATAGATCAAGCCATTTAAGCCTTTGACGATGAAAGCTACAATTATGACTTTAAGGTGATTGCGAGATATAACCATCAGTCATTCGGAAATCACTAAAGTTCATTGCAAAAGACCTAATACCCTTCGCAAAAGATTAAAGTGTTTAAGAAACTTAAGATCAACTCTAGAGGAAACTTTAGCTATAATAATTCTCCAAGGCCAAAGACTTTGCTGCAACAGGAAATCTAAATTAGAAGTTTATAAGATTAAAAGCTAAACCGCAGTTCAGAGGGCATCAACCCTCCTAAGCAGATGGAAATTATATCTAACACAAATCTAAAAAGTGCAGCAAAGTTTGATAACCTCTAGCAGCACCATCTGATGCTAAGTTCTGCAGCTAACTTCCAGAAAATCAAATTAATCAAGCAAAGAAAGGCCACGCATATCAGATCATCCAGTGTGAAACCCGATTTTAACTTTGAATAGACTATTATTAAGGGGAGCAGATCCCCTTTCAAACACAATCCAAATGAATAATTTATTTGAATTAAGCTTTATGTATTAAAATAAACTATTAACAATGCACATGCTTATATGTCACTCATAGAATCCTCTCTTTTTACCTAGATTGCCATTAGGGGCAGCACCATTGGCATCGCCTTGAAATCTGACGTCTCTATCAATTCTTTCTCTTTCAATCTTCCAGTCTTCTCCACCGACCTGTTGCTTTTCTTCCAACCACTATCTTGGAATGTTAGGATCTCTTCTAATTCTCCAGTAGTTATTGTAGTTGCGGATGAAGCTGTAGACATTCCAAGCCATAAATATCATGATACAGTTAATAAATCCCCGATGTACTTTGTTAGCTGCCTTGACTCCTAAGAGTTCCATTCTATTGAACCAATTATTGAATCTCTCCTTGAAATCTCCTTTATTTGACATTTTATTAAATTATTACCACAAATTTAATAATTCTTTTACTTTTAATAAAAAGAGTCTGATGGGGTTTTGGGGTTTTGGGGTTTTGGGGTTTTGGGGTTTTGGGG